CTCAAGAAAGTTTTATTTCACATTAAAAAAATTTATATGTACAAAGAAGAAAGAAATGATAGTTTCAGAACCTTCTCGAAATGGCATTTCGAAAAGCGGGAACGTTGCACTACTGATTGATAAATAGCTATAAATAGGTGGGACAGTAATGCCATCAGAAGCGTAGCTAACCTATTTTGCCTGGGGAGAGGAGAGGAGGAGAGGAGGGGGGAGGCAAACCACGTGCGGGTTGTATTCTGGGAAGGTGACCGCCCTTGACCATGTATGTATATCTACATTTCTCCAGGAGTGAATAATAATACATTTTTATAGTAAAAATATATCATCTATATTATAATGATCTATTATATTATATGATCTATATAATCATAGCATCTATTATTGTTAACTCCTGATTTCTCTAGCTGACTCTCAATTAAAACGCACAGCAGCGCTTTTTGTACTTATCGACATATACATGCATGTATCTACGGTATTTACTGTGATATTTTGTGAATCTGCATACCATTGTTTGGTTGAAAACTTGAGAAAGACTTTACACATACATGACTTTCCAATAACTCGTCATATTTTTTCTAATCAAAATCAGGAACCTGAAACAAGATTTCCTAGGAATCTAAACTAAAGGTCAACGGTTTTCTCAGATATCTGTATCTTGGGTTACAGATACTGGGGGAGAGGGAGTGACGTTCCAATCTGCCCATAAATGTTGAAATGATTGAATAATGGGGCGGTTGCCAGTATAAAATCAACAGAAAATATTTCTAATTTCCTACCTCAAGATTCCCCAGTGTTGTTAGAAGATATATTGTGTTTTCTTGCAAGGGCTACTAATGGGCACGCAAAGCAACACAGCACTTGTAGTCTCTCTCACGCGACTGAGGACAACTCAAGAAAATCTGGATTTGAGGGGGTTACGGCAGGTGAATGCACGGTAGGGGGTCGGGGCTATACGGCTGGGTGACTCCAGACTGGGGGTGGGTGGAATGGCCAGGTGAATACAGTGGTTGTTTTGGGGGGAGGTTGTATTGCCGCGTAAAAGCAGAATGGGGGAGGGGTGCACCTTTCGAAAAAAAATTCATTTATTTTGTTGCGACTCTAATGGCATCTGCCTCTGTATATGCTATTTTGTAATTACTTTATTCGATTTCAGCTCGGACAAGGTGTATTGCCATGTAGTTAAAAAAAACAAGCTTATATATTCCCATCCACCCAACCATCCACCCACCCACCCAGCCAACCGCATCCCTGCATCTGCCACTGCGCGCTGAAATGTTTGCTTTTTGGATACATGTTCAACGCAAATAGTCGGTTCAATTTACGGTGAGCAGAGCGGTCGATGCTGCCCTTTGCCGAGTACACGTCACAGAGCTTTCAAGGTCTTTTTACGAACCATAACCATGGGAGACAAGGAGGGCGCATGCGTACCGCGTAAAGAACTGCACGCGCCCGCGTGCTTATAGACGTGATAAAAATAGACACCGCGCACAGCGATGCTGCGCTCTGCATGGCGACGGGAAATTACAGTACAGAATTGCTACAGCGGCAGCAATTTCTATCCCGACTGATTTAATACGACAGGAATCGGAATACAGTTAAAAATTACAGCTACGGGTTACATTTAGGTACAATCGTAGCTACACCTGGCTTACACAATTACAATTAACATTGCACGCAGATGGGAAATCGACAAGTGTCACAAGTTTCCATGCAACACGCTAAACATGTAACCTACGCATGTGTTGAGCCTGGCTGTTTCTGTCAACACTTACTCAATAACAGGCTAAACGTTCTCTAACGGATAAACGCCTTACGAATAGGTATAACAAGATAGTAAACATACTGCTAAAAGGACATTTTTCAGGGTTCACTAGTCACTTCCATGACAGCCAGTTACGTTGATGTACATGCAGGCCACTGGCTTCACAATTATGTTCGCCCGCTCACGCGACATCTATGTATAAATTTAATTATATAGCTATATACATAGACATCATATAGTCGGGAATGAATTATAATAGATTAATCTATTAAGATTAATCTAGAGATAATCTATTATTATTTTCACTCCTAATAAAGTATATAAACGAATGGAGTGTGAGCAGGCACACACAATGCTGCAGCCAGTGTGATGCCACATCTGTGTTTGTATCTATATATCTGTATTTGTATCTATATATATCTGTGTTTGTATCTATATATATCTGTGTTTGTATCTATATATCTGTATTTGTATCTGTGTTCCAAAGTAGGCCATGTCTGCTTACCTGTGTAGGAGAGCTTCCTGGGCTGGACCCCATACTGGAGACCGCAGAATCGTCACTGACATCTTCCGGTAAGCGCAGCATCGGATACATGCCTGCAAAACAACAAGGCAAACAAACCTTTAACGCCTCACAGTCGTACAATCCCTGCTTCAGGTACGGGTGCTATCGCCTATACAAAAGTATCAATATAACCAACTCGCCGATTACAGCATCGAACCACGTAACCCTAGGCATTAGGCTTCAGTGCCATATTCATTAATTGTGCAGCCTGAAAGTGCACCGGCTTGCTTAATCACAGTACTTGTTAACGATATTCCATATTCAGACGCTAGAGTAGCATTTTCAGCCGCGATTTATCAAAGGTAGTGGTGCGACCCACACTCACAATGCTCTCAGCCCGTGTCCGACATTGCCACAGCACTAAGCGTTGAAATAACATTGCGGCTCGATTCCCAGTGCAACATAACGCCGTCAGGGTCGAACCATGGTGTCTAGCCGCGAGCCACGACTCTCTCTGATGCAGGTTTCCGAATGCAGCGCGCCCCGCCGCGTTACGAACGGATGCCGTTCATTTTTATGGTCGGCAATATAAAATAGATGACGAATGAGGTCAACCGGGAATTTGAGGCGTAGATAAGCTAGCTCACTTCGATTTCTTGTCCCAGTCATTACAAACGCGCATCGCACGTACACGAATTTTACTATCACCAGTTTAACGCAGAAAGGTGGCACAGTAACTGACTTACTACGTTACTAATTGCGCATGCATGATCAGGGTAGGTGTCCTAAGGTAACACAATCGATTAATTAAGACGCACAATCAATTCAGGAACCTATACGCTTGTTCATACAGTTAGATTTCACACGATGGTACTCAATTATGAGGTTATGTCATACCTTGCGAACAACCCTAACCAACAGCGTCATAAGGTAACACACTCTCAGAGAGATTTTCTTCAAGGGCATTTCGTCATTTTCTAACACGTTCAGTAGCCGAGCGCTAAATTTTACGGTTTTACTCTGTAAGCTCATCAGGTAAATTGTTGCCATGGTAACAACAAGGGAAGCTGAAGTGAGTGCTTTGTGCAGGAGGAGGACAGGTGGAGTAAAAGCAACAAACTGAAATCGATGGACAGGACGACCTTAGCACGCGAACGCCATCGTATTAATTACTACGTAACATGTCTCGCCGAAAATAACCCTACTCTACTAAATCAGACAAAAACCGGTCTCAACAATCCGCCGCCCGCTGCCATGAAACTCATCGCCCGCGCGATAGCCTCTACTGAGAGCAAGGTTCGCCAGAAACTCCAATCTCACATCCCGTGTTGCCTGCTCTAACCTTCACTAAATAGAAGCTCAGAAACCCCCATCTAACACAACAATCTCCTCATGTGTGTGCCCACGTGCTAACCTTAACTCTAACCCAAGACCAGAACACCCACCCTTATAAAACCCGTTCCTCAAATGCTGACCTGCTCAGCACTACCTAGAAGATAATAAACCCCTCACCGCACAACACTCTCCCCCCTTCCCATTCCTTCAAATTCATTGCGAGGAAGATCAGAACCCCCACCCCTATAAAACCTGTTCCCTACGCTATCACCTTCCCTGAGTGGAAGGTCAGAACTCCCGCCATAACGGCTAACGCTCCATTAGGAGTGTTCTCAACTTTGATATCATTAATGATTAATGATTAATGATTAATGATTAATGATTAATGATTGATAATCCTAACCCTAACCCTAACCTAACCTATAACATAACCCTAACCATTAATGACATTAAAGTTGGGAACACTCCCAATGGCGTATCACCCGCCATAACACCCATTCCCCGCGCGCTAACCTGCACTGCGTGGATGTTCAGGAAACCCCACCTCACAACTCACTCCCTGTGCACACGTACCTCGCTGCGGGGGGTCAGAAACCCCACCACAAAACCTATTACCCGCACGCTAACCATTGCCGCGTGGAAGACCAGAAACCCATACTGCACAACACACTCCCCGCGCGCTAACATTTTCTGCGTGTGGAAGGTTTAGAAACCCCACCACCCAAACAACTCGGACACCTCGCACATGAGTACCTTCACTGTGCATAAGATCAGAAACCTCCCCCACCCCACACTGAACATACCTACGCTCAGGGGAACATCAGAAACCATCCGACTGAACAACCCACTCCGCCCGCATGCACGTACCCTCGCTCAGGGGAACATCAGAAACCATCAGACTGAACAACCCACTCCCGCCCGCGCGCGACGTACCTATCGCCTCAGGGGAGATATCAGAAAACCATCAACTGAACAACCCACTCACACCCCCGCGAGCAGTACCTTTCGCTCAGGGGAACATTCAGAAACCATTCAGACTGAACAAACCCACTCCACCCTGCCGGCAAACGGTACCTTCACTCAAGTGGGAACATGCAGAACCACCTGCTCCCACAACGCACTCCCCCCGCGCAGCACGTACCTTTGCTCAGCGGAACATCAGAAACCATCAGACTGAACAACCCACGTCCCCCCCCCGCGCGCACGTTCGCTCACTCAGGGGAACATCAGAAACCACCCTGGCCTCCACAACCTCACTCCCCCGCGAGCACGTATACCTGTTCCGCTCAAGGGAACATCGAAACCATCAGACAGAACAACCCACTCCGCCGCGCGCACGTCACCTTCGGCTTCAGGGCGAACATCAAGAAACCACCTCCGCTCCACAACCCACTCCCCGCCGAGCACGTAACCTTCGGCTCAGCTGGAACATCAGAATGAAACCATCAGACTGAACAACCCACTCGCCCTGCGTCAGCCGCTACGATACCTCGCTCAGAGGGGAACATCAGAAACCAACCCGCTTCCACAACGCAGAAGCCACTCCCCCCCGCGAGCACTACCTTCGTCGGGACATCAGAACAACCATCAGACTGAACAACCCACTCCCCCGCGCTGCAACGTACCTTCACTCACGGGGGAACATCAGAAACCACCTGCTCACAACCCCACTCCCCCGCCGAGCACGTACCTTGCGCTCAGGGAACGATCAGAAACCATCCAGACTAGAACAACCCACTCCCCCCGCCGCGCACGTTACTTCACTCAGGGGAACATCAAAACACCCTGCACTCCACGAACCCACTCCCCCCCGCCGAGCCACGGTACTTCGCTCAGGGGAATCATCCAGAAAACCATCAGGACTGAACAATCCCACTCCGCGCCGCGCACGTACCTTCGCTCAGGGGAACATCAGAAAACCACCCTGCTTCCACAACCACTCCCCCCCGCGAGCACGTACCCTTCGCTCAGGGACATCAGTAACACCATGCAGACTTGAACAACGCCACTCCGCGCCCGCGTAGCAGCCGTACCTTCGCTCAGGGAACATTCAGAAGACCACCCTGCTCCACAACCCACTCGCCCCCGCGAGCACGCTCCTTCGCTCCAGGGGAACATCAGAAACCATCAGACTGAACAGACCCACTCCCGCCGGCATGCGCGACGTAACCATTCACTCAAGGGGAACATCAGAAACCACCCTGCTCCACAACACCACTCCCCCCGCCCGCGACCACGCTACCTTCGCTTCAGGGCAACATCAGAAGACCATCAGACTGAACAACCCCTCCTCCCCCTGCAGCCACGTAGTCCTTCACTCAGGGCAACATCAGAAACCACCCGGGTCCTTCACAACCACACTCCCCCCCGCGAGCACTGTACCTTCGCCTCAGGGACCACATCAGAAACCATATCAGACTGAAGCAACCACTCCGCCCGCGCGGCCACGTACTCTTCGGCTCAGGGGAACATCAGAACATCAGAGCTGAACACCCACTGCCGCCGCGCGCACGGACCGTTCGCTCAGAGGCAGATCGCTGGCATTAAGCCGTAATCGCCGCCCTCCACATCGTGTCAGCAGCTTTCTCTGGAAGTATCCTCGCCTGCGTGTCATTCATGCTGGTCGTTGCTGAACATGGAAGCCGGCGGGGTCGTAGTTCGTCTCGCCGCCGTCGCTGCCTGCTCTCCGACTGGCGTTTGTCATTAGGGTCAGCTCTGTAACATGCGCACAGTGACTCAGTCAGCGCTGCGCCTTAGCGATGCAGCGAGCACAGACAAACAAATATATATACATACACACATACATATATATACATAAATAAATAAATATATATATACATATATATATATATTATAAATAAATATATATATATCTTTATATTTATTTATATATATATGTATATGTATGTATATATATATATATGTATACATATATATAATATATATCAAAAGCTAATAATACCGTAGAGTCGTACAACGGAAAAAACGGGAAATAGTGCTATTTCACGACAACATTATTTTCTACTTTGCCTGCGATCTATAATAATTTCATGGTATTGCATTAAGCAGAATTCTTTTGCATCTCTAAAACAAGACCAAACCGCTTGTCAATACGATACTCCTAGGCGGAGATATCGGCTCTAAACTTCCCTCCACATGCCAAACGCCGCCTCGAATCCACTTCTGTCCCCATCCTTCACGCGTCTAAGCATTTCGGCTATCGTTTCCGTCACGCTGCTTGGAGCGCTGATAATTGATGTCACATGCCCAAATTTGGTACTCTTACTAGCTGCGTTGTAGAGACTTAATTAAAAAAAACATTGCCGGCTCCATCATGACGGGCATTAGCCGTGCTAGGAAAGGATAATGGGAGATAAGGGCATAGGCGATGCCCCCGAAAGTTCACCTCCACCCTGCACCTGCACCCGAAAATCATTCATAAAATTATGGCGGAAAAACCGAACTCTCAGCGAAGCATCGCTTAGCCGCGTGATAGAGGACAGAAGTGATTCGAGGCGGCGTTGCATGTGGGAGGGGAGGTTTAGGAGCCGATATCTCCGCCTAGGAGTATCGTATTGACAAGCTTGTCTTGTTTTTAGAGAGCAAAGAATTCTGCTTAATGCAATACCATGAAAATTATTATAGGACTCGCAGGCAAAGTAGAATAATGTTGTCGTGAAATAGCACTATTTCCCGTTTTTCCGTTGTACACTCTAGTATTATTAGCTCTTGATATATATATATACACATATATATATATATTATAAATAAATAAATATATATCTTAATTTATTTTATGTACTTATATTATGTATATGTGTATGTATATATATATATATGTATACATATATACATACATATCGCGATACGCGGCGGGGGACGCGAAGCTGATGTGAACGACAAGTGAACACCCGAAGGAACGTGGGTGAGCGCGAAAGGTACGCACGGAAAAAAGGGGTAATGTACGCGACGAAGGTAGGTTGAGCGACGGAAGGTAGGGAGCTTGACGAAGGTACGAGTAGCGGACGGAGGTCAGGTAGACGACGGAAGGTAGGTCGACAGCTACGAAGTAGGTACGCGACGCGGAAGGTAGGTGACGCCGAACGAGAAGTACGCGACGGAAGGTAGGTGACGCGACGGAAGGTAGGTGACGCGACGAAAGGTAGGTGACGCGACGAAGGTAGGTGACGCGACGGAAGGTTAGTGTGAAGCGGACGGAAGGTAGGTGATGGACCGGAATAAGTCGCGACGGAAAGTAGGTTGACGCCGACGAAAGGTACGGTGACGCGACGGAAGCGTAGGTGACGGCGACGAAGGTAGGCTGACGCGAGGACGGTAGGCTACGCGAGAAGGAGGCTGACGCAACGAGTGTAGCGAAAGTGGACGCGACGAAGCGTCAGGGTGACCGGAAGGAGACGCGACGGAGACGTAGGTGGCTGACGGACAAGGTAGTGACGCGATCGAGGTAGGTGACGCGACGGAAGTGGTGACGCGAGGGTGAGACGACGAGGGCGCAGAGGTAAGGCCGACAGCACTGCACACTCACCGGTCAATATCACCGGTCAAGGTAGGTGACGCGACGAAGGGGCACTGCACACTCACCGTCAATATCGGCTGAGTCGCGACGCCAGCGTCACGTTCTGCAGTAGTACGTCCGACGGCTGTATGGGGGCGCTGCCGGCGGCTCCCGAGAAGTTGGTCGGCCACGTCGCGGTCGCCCGCAGAGCGCCGGCGTCCAGCTCCAGTACGCTGGCCACGTCCTCCCAACGCTGCTCTATGCTGCTGAGGCGCGTAAACGCTGCGGGCTGCACCTGCGAGCAAGAAACAGACGATTAAGAGGCGCGCGACAGAGCCGATACCACCAAAGAACGATCGTCAGAATTACGGCAGAACTAAGCGAAGAACGGTGGACTGAGCAATGGCCACCTGCCAGACCAAGCACAGCTGATCGCTATGTGACCAATAGGCACTTGCCAGAAAATTTCGAATCACCGGATAGATCCACGGATTCATGAAGTAGATAATTACGCGTAAGAGTGTGACGTCAAGTAAACAAAGGGAAAATTCCTCATTTACTAGCCTTAGAATACCTACGATTTACTACGCGTAATCAAACCAAACTTGAGCTCAATTCGTACACAGTACATTTTGCCTAGCATCGTGCGAAATCTTTCCTCGTATACACCGCAATCCGGAATGACATAGACTAAAACGTACGACACGATTCTCCATTCTGTTGCCAGCAAACGCGAATGTATAAATCGCCTAACTTGAAATAAAAGGGCAGCTAGGTCAAAGATTAGCTCGCCGAGTGTGCGTCGGATATCCAATCTCCCAGCGAGCCAACCGATCGCCGAGGGCGCAAGAGTGCGCAAGAGTCGTTAGTACTGCCTTTTGTTTCAAGTTAGGCGGTTTATACATTCGTTTGCTGCAAGCAAGAATGGAGACTCGTGTCGTACGTTTTAGTTCTGTATGCTCCAGAATTGCGGCGTGTAATACAGGAAACGATTTCGCACGATGCTAGGCGAATGTACTGTGTACGAATTGAGCTCAAGTTGGTAAGTTACGCGTAGTAACTCGTAGGTATTCTAAGGCTAGTAAATGACGAATTTCCCTTGTTTACTGAAGTCACACTCCTTCCCGATTATCTACTTCTGATCCACATGCATCTACCATATTGCCAAGTAACGATAGCAGGTATTTACCAGACCCATGTATTGTACGGAAAATGGATGGACAGCCCATAGGCGATCTGATCGCAAGCCAAAAACATTTTTTTATCACAATCACGATTTTTTTCTAGATCTTTTCTGTCCTTCCCGCTAAAGGAGAGTACGGCAAAAATGTCTTTCACACATGCTCATTGCTCCACGTTTCTTTTTTTCTATGATCTCGAAACGCGGCAGGAATGCTGGCAGGTGCACACGCACACATGACACTTGTTTGAAGGCAAGGGTCACTGCTGAGTTAACGAGAACGTTGAAACTGCAGGCATACACACACAAATCGTTTGCTTGCTTAACGGCGAGCTCAGATTCAGACAGGAACAGAATTTAAGGCAGCCGGAAACCTTTTGTAATTTAATCGCGCCTAGCAAAGCACGGGTCACATGAGTGCTACAGATCCGAAGGCAGTGGAACTTTGAAGCGTGTTGAACATTGGTAGTGCAAAGAATTCTTCACCTGTCCTGCAGGCCCTATGTGCCTTTCTGTATTGAAATCATGTCCACGCCAGCGCGCAGGGATGTGCTGATTGTGGTAAGGAAACTTAGGCTATAGCAAACAGGAACCTTGCTATCATGGCGCAACATACACTCACCCAAAAGCAAATATTGTCCAACTTTATATAAAATGGAACGGGAAAAACAAACAATGAAAGATTAGACGATGATGGTAATTTGAATAAAATACTTTACATCCCGTCGATAAAAAAGTCCGTCTGCGACTTTTATCGATTACTGCACACATGAGCATCGCATGTACGGATACTATCACAACATCTCTATCTGTGTGTGCGAGATAACAAATGTTTGATGCTAAGATATTTTGTATTTTTTTACAACGACTTTGTATGTAACCTTTTATTGTGAAACTAGATATGCAAATGCACTATCGACTGCAATGTTGACACGACTAGTCACACGCACCATAATTTTCGTGAACTAACTTAGGCCTATAGATTCGCTATCAGTACTGCCACACCCCACAGGTTGGACTGGGGCGTCTGCAAGGCTAATGACCTTGTCCTGACCTTCCAACCTCATGTGTAGCCGAGCTGCACACGTCTGCATAGCAAACGTGAGCAATGGCGGCGAACAATGACAGTCTCCGCTCCACTAAACAGCAAATCAGCATCAACATCTAGTTACGCCATGCTAAATTCAGTAACAGCTGCTGGAATAGAAGCGGCAACTCTTTTAATCGAAGTGCGCGTGTGCAAGTGTCCCTACTCCCAGCTTAAGCCAACAGCACCAACTTCCTCCTCGATCGACGACAAGATAAGCCCTTCACGCTGCAATGAGCCCTTCTCGGTAGCCACACGTTGCGACCCCAAAATCCGAACTGCTTTATACCAGAACGCACCCCGCCGAGCCACGGACGAGTTATCCAATTTCCCTTAGCATTAGCCATCTACTCTGTCATACCTCATTTTAACAATTTTCATTCAGCAGACGAGAAGAAGAACAGATGAATCAGGGTTCGCCAAGCTTTTTCATTATAGCATGGCGGTGCTGCCTTTACGGTCCTAGTTGCAAATCGCCAAAGGCCGGCTATGGCATTTATGGCCTATATTATGGCCTAATTTAGCATGGCAGCTATGATATTTAGAGTGGCGGGTGCATTTTAGGATGGCGGGGCTCGACGATAGCCTGGCGGGCCGCCAGGCTATAAGTGCTCTTAGAGAAGCCTGTGAATGGAGTCGAAATATTCATGACAATAGCACCAGCTACCGCGGGTTGACCTCGCAATTAGCGGAGGATTCGCTTAGCCGACAAATCACAGGAACGTATCTTGTCTATCGAACGAGGAACGACAGTACTAGCAGAATTACACAGTACAGTCAAACTTCGTTACAACGTAACTCCAGGGACCTTAAGAATCAGTACGTTATAACGATAGTTCGTTGTAACCAATTCCCATAAAATGAACGCTAACGCAAGAATTACAACATGGACGTTTAATTATAACACCTGTAACAAATTTTTATCAATTTGGAGTAAAACAAAACAATGTATTGAAGACACCCGTCTTTTGTTCCCGTTATTTGCACTCAAAGAAATGAAAGAGCCCGCGTTAATTTCGCCGATGTCCTGAAACAGTGCTGCGAGTGCTGCAAGGTTTCCCACCGTAAGTTGTAACGAAAGCTAGTATGCATTTTCCCAGTGAAAATTTTAACGTTGTATTGCAAGTTTACGTTATAAAGGTGTACGTTGTATACGATACTGGCAAATGGAATAATGCATTACACAAATTCGGGAACTTGGAGATGTGTGCGTTGTAGCAGCGTAAACGTTATAAACAGGGTATGTAGTAACGAAGTTCGACAGTATTAGCGATCGGTAGTACATACCTGGTCACCGACGGAGCCGTTCAGAAGTCGCTGCCCGCTTTGGATGTAGTTGTCAAACTGGGCGACGGTGGTCATGTTGCACGTGTCCAGGTTCAGGTTGTTGGTCAGCTCTTCAAGGTCAAGATCAAGGTCGAAACCGAATGCGTATCCATCCTGCTGGGCAGAAAACAGACGGAGGGGGATTTAACGATTGGTGTGAAAACTAGACGTAACGCGACTATAAGAGAACATCAACCTGCTAGCTGCTCCTCTATCTGTGACCTGGACACTCCTAATCAGAAACATAAATACAGACACACTCAACCACGTCCTTCACTCTACATTCACCTTTCCAAGCCCACAAGTCTAGACACTATATTGACCATGGCCATAATTCTAGACACACGGGACCATGGCACTATCCTTTAATAATACCTACCACGACAACCTAAACACCAGTTAATATGAACAACGGTAACCACCATAACCTAACAGAATTTGGACTTCCCCAGCAATGGTGTCACATAATTAGCTGTGAGTAATAGGATGACAGTTTTACGACTACAAACGTCTTTTACGAAAGTCATTCTGCCACGAAATTTCCTCGGAGGCAATGAGAACTCATTGCAATGTTTGGAAACTTGATATAAGCATTATAAAATTTCACGAAAATCTTCTAATTTGAGAGAATCCCATATAATTTTGACGTTCATTCCCCGAACAGCAGGTGTCTAGACAAGCTAGAGCTAATCATTGCTACTGCACGCTAACGTGATTAACACTCTCACTACTCACTCGTTCCGTTCACGCTCCTATATGAATCCTTTATCGCTTACAACCAAGTCGCTGTTTCCCATTTGAAAAATGAACTTACAAATGTTCTCGGCCCTGGTTGCCGGTGTTTAGTGGTTATGACAGCAACGGCTGCATGGTGTAAAATATGTGGCGGGTAGCAGATAGTGATGGATAAAACAATTCCTAACAATCCCGAGCGGAGACCGCAGGCAAACCACTTCAAACACGCACGCAGACAATTACGCCCGACGCTTCTTGAATAGTGCGTGCTATCGAATACATCCACATGAAAAGCTTGCATAAATTATTAAAACTTGGTTTAAAATAAAGAACCTTGCAGCACGAAGGACGATTCATTGAGACGGGAAACGCGATCCAAGTTGTGGAGCGTATTGCATTGGCACGTAGGGGGTGTGCGGATCTGTAAGCACTAGTCTGTAGGTGACAGTGGCTAATGTGATGGTTAGTAGATAAAAATAGGTAATAATGCATATATTATATACCAAATGCACGAGTCAATACAGCTAATATCCTCATCTGTACAGCTGTAGGCATCAAGCTACAATCTCTAACCTGCTGGTCTACGGGTGACAACAGTCAATGGTGTACATATTACATAGCCAATGTGCTGGCCTGTATACCTAATGAGCTGGTCTGTATAGCTAAGGTGCTCGTTTTCATAGCTAACATGCTCGTACGTATAGCAAACATGCTCATTTATATAGCCAATGTGCTGGCCTGTATACCTAACGTGCCGGTCTGTATAGCTAAGGTGCTCGTTTTCATAGCTAACACGCACAGTTACATAGCCAACATGCTGGTGTGTATAGCCAATGTGTTAGCCCGGAGTGGGTTGTGTATCAGTCTGATGGTTTCTGATGTTTCCCACTGAGCGAGGTTACGTCGCATGCGGGTCGGAGTGGGTTGTTCAGATCGATGGTTTTTCTGATGTTTCCCTGAGCCGTAAGGTTAATGTTCAGTGTGGGGTGGGGGAGGTTTCTGGATCTTATTGCACCAGTGAAAGGGTACTCAATGTGGCGAGGTGGTCCGATTGGTTTGGGTGGTTGGGGTTTCTAAACCTTCACACCAGAAACATGTTAGCGCGCGGGAGTGTGTTGCTGCAATATGGGTTTCTTGGTCTATCCACGCGCACAATGGTTAGCGTGGCGGGTAATAGGTTTTGTGGTGGGGTTTTCTGACGCCCCCCCCAGCGAGGGTATCGTGTGCACAGGGAGAGTGGAGTTGTGAGGTGGGGTTCCTGAAACATCCACGCAGTGCCAGGTTAGCGCGCTGGGAATGGCTGTTAATGGCGTGTGATACGCCATTGGGAAGTGTCCCACTTTAAAGTCATTAATGGTTAAGGGTTTACTGTTATAGTTAGGTTTAGGGTTAGGGTTTAGGATTATCAATCATTAATCATTAAGTATCATTATAATGATAATCAAAGTTGAGGAACACTCCTAATGGAAAGCGTTAGCCCGTATGGCGGGATGTTCTGACCATTCCACTGCAGGAAGGTGAGTAGCGTAGGGAACCAAGGTTTTATAGGGGTGGGGGTTCTGGATCTTCGCTCGCAATGAATTTGAAGGAAATGGGGAAGGGGGAGAGTGTTGTGCGTGAAGGGGTTTATTTCTATCTAGGTAGTGCTGCACAGGTCAGCATTTGAGAACGGGTTTTTTATTAAAGAGTGGTGTTCTGGTCCTTGGGTTAGAGTTTAAGTAGCACGTGGGCCTACACAACATGAGGAGATTGTAATTGTTAGATGGCGGTTTCTTGAGCTTCTGATTTAGTGAGGTGAGAGCAGGCAAACACCGGGATGGTGAGAATTGGATATTCGTTGGCGATACCTTTGCTTCTCAGTAGAGCTCATCGCGCGGGCCGATGATTTTCATGCAGCGGGCGGCCGATTGTTAGAGCCGCGTTTTTTGTCTGATTTAGTAGAGTAGGGTTATTTCGGCGAGAACATAGTTACTAGTAATTACGTAACATGGCGTTCGCAGTGCTAAGGTCGTCCTGTCCGCATCGATTTCCAGTTTGTTGCGTTTTTACTACCACCATGTCCTCCTCAAACGTGAGCACAAAGCCAACTCACTTATACAGCTGTTCCCTTTGTGTTACCGATGCAAACAATTTACCTGGATGAGCTTTACAAGAGTAAAACCGTAAAATTTTAGCGCTCGGCTACTGAACGTGTTAGAAAATGAGAAAATGCCCTATGAAAGAAAAAATCTGCTCTGAGAGTGTTGTTCCCCTTATGACGCTGTTTTGTGTAGGGTTGTTCGCGAAGTATGTACATAACCTCATAATTGAGTACCGATCGTGTGAAAACTAACTGTATAACAAGCTATAGTTCCTCGAATTGATTGTGCGTCTTAATTAAATCGATTGTGTTACCTTAGGACACACTACCCTGATCATCATGACGCAATTATAACGTAGTAAGTCAGTTGACTGGTGCCACCTTTCTGCGTTTTAAACTGGTGATAGTAAAAGTCGTGTACGTGCATGCGCGTTGTAATGACTGGGACACAGAAATCTGAAGTGAGCTAGCTTAATCCAACGCCCTCCAAATTCCCCGGTTTTGACCTCATTCGTCATCTATTGTTTAATTATTGCCGAACCATAAAATGAAAACGGCAAACTCCGTTCGTATAACGCGGCGTGGGCGCGCTGCAATTCGGAAACCTGCATCACAGAGAGTCGTGGCTCGCGGCTAGACACCAATGTGTTCGACCCTGACGGCGTTTATGTTGGAACTGGAATCGAGCCGCCAAATGTTATTTCAACGCTTAGTGCTGTGGCAATGTCGACCCGGGGCTTGAAGAGCATGTGTGAGTGTGGGTCGCGCACCACTACGCTTTCTGAAATAAATCGCGCGCCTGAAAATGCTACCTCTAGCGCTGAATAATGGGAATAATCGTTAAACAGTACTGTGATTAAGCAATGCCGGGTGCAACTTCAGGCTGCACAATTAATGAACTATGGCACTGAACGCCTAATGCCTAGGGTTACGTGGTTCGATGCTGTAATCGCGATTGTTATAATGAATACATTTGTTGATAGGCGATAGCAACCGTAACCTGAAGCAGGATTGTACGACTGTGAGCGTTAAAAGTTTGTTTGCCGCTTGTTGTTTTGCAGGCATGTATCCGATGCTGGCGCTTACCCGAAGAATGTCATGACGATTCTGCGGTCTCACAAGTATGGGTCCAGCCCAGGAAGCTCTCCCTACCAG